AATGTTAGCTTAGATGTGCTAATGATGAGATTGTTATAAGCTGATAAGTGAAAATTGGTGAGTGATAGATTATTTTATTGAGGTGGTGACAGACGTGCCGCTTGCGAGGTCAGCACAGCAGGCAGCAGTTGCAGCAGTTGCGCAGCCAATGGGGACATTTTATGGGGCCTTGATTAACATGGGGAAATTAGGTAATTATCAAACGATAGAATAAACGAATAATTAAATAGGTCTTCTTAATTCAAGCGACATACTTCTTTATCATCATAAACCATGAATGATATAGTTTTAAGAATCTTTATACGAACCATTTAAATAGGTGATAGTGATAATTATAACAAACAACTCAATACATTAATTAAATCGAAGGATTGCACTTTTCATTTCTTTTAATTACTTTTTGAAGGGGTGTGAGCGGGTTGGTATAAATTCAGATGAAACTGGTCTTACAGTTTTCATCATTTCATGACGAAGAGATTGAAGTTGAGTAGTCTTCACAGCTTCTTCAAGGCATTTGCATCAAGAAAATGAGATTTTCTCCTTCAAAGTTACATGATTCTGCAGAGAGAGAGAGGGAGTCAACTCACAGCTTCTTCAAGGCATTTGCAGCCAAAAACAACAACAGTTTCTCCTTCAAAGTTACATAGTTCACAGCTTCTTTATGGCATTTGCATACTAAGATGAGATTTTCTCCTTCAAAGTTACATGATTCTGCAGAGAGAGAGAGAGATAGAGAGAGTCAAGTATAGTCTTCATCTTCACAGCTTCTTTAATTAAGGCATTTGTAGCAAGAAAAATAACAATTTCTCTTTCAAAGTTACATACTTCACAGCTTCTTCATGGCATTTGCATAAAGAAAATGAGATTTTCTCCTTCAAAGTCACATCACTCTACAGGGAGAGAGAGTCAAGTAGTCTTCATCTTCACAGCTTCTTCAAGGCATATGCAGCAAGAAAAATAACATTTCTCCCATGTCTCCTTCAAAGTTACTTAATTCTACAAAAGTTAGAATCTTTTTACGAGAACATCTAATTTCAGCAAGTGAATTGTTTGCGGTTTCAAAAAGTATGCAGAAATATTTCTCGAGAGATACGCTTCTCCATCAACACCATCCCCAGAAAGAAAAAAAGTGTACTAAAGGAAATTCATCAAGAATAATAATCCAGGAGGCTGAGCACAGACATCAGTGTATCATCATTATTAAGAAAACTTCGAACCTCAACAAAGGCACTCAATCTACGAATAGTAAAACTACACACTTTCGAGGATGCACACAGAAAGCTTCGAATATCGGGAGGAAAACCAACTAGAAAGAACTTTTCACACCGTCCCCCATTTTGTTGCAACGTTAAGTCTCACAAAGACGCAATGTTGAAAATGTTCGTCGTGCCCTGCCTCCATCACCAGTCTTCTCAAATAAAAAAGGAAATCGGCATCCTCGGCGAATATCAATATTTTAGATGCAGTACTTCAAGAAACACCTGAAAGTGTAAAGATACCAGAAAGCATTTATTTCTTCAACACACCTGCATTGACAATATACCTTTAATGAAAATATAGGAACCATGTCTATCAAGACCACATCTTTCGACGGTCAGTTCGGAAGTTTATCATCAAGAAGAGAGAAGAATCTCCATCATGTGTGCCAAGGAGAAAATCAGTTTTAAAATGCGCTGCATAATACATAAGACAGTCTTTCAGGCTGCAAATTTCAGAGATACATTTATTCATATTCACGGTTGACTTACTTGTAGAAAATCGTAATTCATAGGTTTTTCTATTATTATGAAGGATAATTTATTGGTGATTGAAAATAAATTTTATTATGGTTTGATAATCCATTAGTGCCAAGACAGGTGCGGGTATTAATTGTAAAGTTACGTAACAAAAGAAACAGTCACACACACAAATGTAAAGCTGTATTGATTAATCAATCACTGCTAATTTGGTGATTGGTTCTTGATCCCTGAAGCGTAGGCCTGGACGATAGTCAAATCTTATACAGTATAAAACAAGTGTGTTTTATTTTACAATTAATGTTTGGTAATGATTCACGTGAAAAGTCACGTGACCTCGTAAAATGTGTAGTTGAGTAATAGTAACCTCTCTGTAATATTTTTTGACACTGGTGAGGAAAGGACGGCTATATGGGGAGATGGGAGGCCGTTTAATATACTTATTTGTGATTTATAACTTTAAATTTTGCGTAGGCCTAGTCAATCATTTTAGGACCAACGAAGGTTATATCGTGGATCAAAATTATTGCTATATGATCATACATGTGTTCATCATATATTAATATTTTGTTTAATTTCTGATCGATGTGGAATATTGACAATCGATAGGTCTACATTTGGTTGGAAAATTGAGTCGCTGACTTTACAATCACCAAAGTAAAATAACATGTTACGTAATAACTACATGAAATATTGTAAAGCAGATAATTTATTTGTGATTGAATATGAACGGTAATATAATCCATTGTTGAAATAGGTCATGGCATGACGAAAGGTGCATGTTCAAAAATAGGCCTACAGTTGCGCAACAAAAGACATAGTCACGCACAATTAGAATACATGAACATATTTTGTTTTGATCTATCGGTACGAGTAAACTTATGGGTTATTGATCCCTGAGCGTAGGCCTAGACGATAATTGATCTTTTCTTGATAGACGAAGCGTGTTTTGCACGAAATGGTTATAAAGATGGATGACGAATCCGATATCGTAAGATACAAAAATGTTGATAAAACATCATTTTATTGACATTGGTGTGGAAAGGACGGCTGTAAGGGGAGATGGGAGGCCGTTTTTATTCATGTATTTTATGGTGAATCAAAAGTATATTAATAACTGGCTGTATCTTTATCACTCATCTTGAAGAAGAAAAAAAATGTTTTAATATGATTTTGATGGAATATTAGCAATCGATAAATCGGGTAGTGAAATGAAATCGAAATTTCTACAAAAATATTTATGTCATGGAATAATTAATACATCAAGATAATTTATTCGTGATTGAAAACGAATGGTAAAACGTAATTTTATTTACAATACTGTAGAAACGACGGCTATAAGGGGAGACGGGGGCGCCCTTTGTTACTATTTCAGTGGGTTTTTTTTCAGGATAAAAGGTGTTGGTAACTGATTATTCATTATTTTATTAAATGTTGATCGATGTTTTTGTTTATTCCACTACGTGTTGAATATTGACAATCGTTGATTTTGGCAAATAGTGAATGGTATGAAGACAGGCACATGTTGAAATTTAGAGTTGCGTAACAAAACCAAAACAATTACGCATATAGTGTATGAATGTTCTTGCTTTGCTTGATAAATGAGTCAAGTTATCGACAGACGTTTAGTGATTCTCGGGGTGTAGGCCTACAAAATAACCGATTATTTTTTAACGAAGTGGGTTCTCAAATGTGTTTCCGACTTTCCGATTGATATTGACGTCTTTGTAACTTTATTAACGATGGTGTGGAAAGGACGGCTGTAAGGGGAGATGGGAGGCCGTTTTAGAACATATATAAATATTTGTATTAATCGAGAAAGCTTATCGGTTATTGATCCCTGAACGTATGCCTAGACGATAATTTCGGGATCAACAAATTGTGTTTTACACGAAAAGGCTAAAGATGGTTGACAAAAAAACGCATGACTCCGTAAAATTCATAGATGATAAAAAAAATATTGACAATGGTGTGGAAAGGACGGCTGTAAGGGGAGATGGGAGGCCGTTTGTATTCATTTGTTTCATTGCGAATCAATATTTATTTGAGCAACAGTAACTTCCTTGTAATTTTATTGACAATCGAGTAGAATGGACGGCTAAAGTAAAAGGGGATATGTGAGGACGTTTATTATTAAGCAATTAGGGTTTTTTTTTTTAGGATAAAAGGTGTTGACAACTGATCAGTCATTTATGTAATGTTGATCGACGGTGTGCTTTTTTTATTCCAAACATACAATTATGTTGAAATATAGACTATCGTTGATTTTGGCAAATGGTATGAAGACAGGTACATGTTCAAATGCAGAGTTGCGTAGCAAAAGAAACAATTACTCCCTATTTAATTCATGTACATTTTGTATTGTTTGATCAGTACGAGTAGGCCTAATCCTTTATTGATCCCTGAAGCGCGTACGTAGCTACTATCAACGTTCATTAGGTAATATAATGTTCCACGATCTGCAGCTCTGGGTTAAAAGAATTGAACATTTCTTATGCAAATCCCTTTTCCAGTTTTCCGTAATTAATTGGCCTAAAGTGTGCTTGTTCATGATGTACTAAGTTATGACAGTCTTTCACAGTCGCCTATCTTTGTGCTTTACATGATTTGTAAATAATTGAAAATTACACAAAGTAATTATGTTTGAAAGAATGAAATAAGAACGAAAAATACGTCGTGGGAAACAAAATCTCCAAATAGGCCTATCCTGTCTTTTTGGATTTGAGCTATTCCCTAACTTACCAAATCATTTTTCACTTTCAAATCGTGCAGTTACCTCCTCCCTCCTTTTTTTTTAATAGACATGCCGGTTTACGTGCGTGAAAATTCATCGATATGGTAACTGATGTGTACGTGATACTTTGGCCCCGTTTCCATGGATTCAGTCGTTAGTGATTACTATAGTGTACTATCAGTTATTGCTGTCGAGTCTAGTAGATTATTTATAAAACTTGATATTTTAATGATCAACCCAAGTGTTTACAAAGAAACCAACCAGCCTGTGCACTGGGCTTGACGATTACCATGGACGCTGTGCTTTTGCACCGTTCGCAAAAATAACCACCACAACGACAGCCATCAGTGTACGGTTTATTAATTTAACGAGGGCAGCCATCTTGGATTCCTATTTTTCTTGTTGGGTGTGGCGTGAAACACTGTGAAGACATACGCTTTATGTTAATCATTCCTGACTGACAAACTATGAAGAGATTCAGTGTTACATGCATATCGTTGGAAAGGGGGCAGTTTTCGAAGAAACGATCATCATAGTCGAATATATAAGGACTTTTTATTATGCACGTCAGTAAAATAATGATATACAAATTTTCAGGATTTATAGCCAATAAAACTGGAGAAATATATCTTAAAACGATTAAAACCTACTTTACAGTCATTTTTTTTTAAATACAAATTTAAAAGCCTTGGAATGGTGCTAAAAGGCGCTCTATAAATGAATAGTATATAAACTGCATTCATCCTCACAGATGCTAATTCTAAATTATCTTGTCGGCACCCAACTTGAATTTGAAGAAAAGAAAGAAAGCTTGGCCAGCGTAAGCACCATTAGTATTAAACTTTGACACTGTAAAGAAAAGAAATACCATTTTGGTTTGAAACCAAATTTGTAAAAATTGCCCCAAAACATTGGGTAACTATATGCACCATATAAAAAGAAACATCTGTAAGTTCTTTGATTTTACAATATTACAGATTACGCCAAGTTCAGTGAAAAAAATATCAAGGGATAACATGCACAACCTTTGTGTTTTAAATTCCAATTCCATCTTGCGAATAATTTCATGTTTTACAATAATTGCAGCAAAATTGGAGGAACATTTTCAATTTTCCCAAATTTATATTGCATAAACACAGATCAATTGTAATTGTTTATGATACAAATCTTCCCGGTGACTTTGAATACTCAGGAAAGAAATAGACATAAAGATATCAATAATTATAGTCATTATAGCCTACATAATAAAGGTTGTAGCATGTGATTTAAAAGCTTTTTACACGCATGTGTTAAACAATAAGCAAAAGTTTCGATCGATAGGAAATTTACGACATATTTGCACTTTGCCAGACAGGTTGTTTTTTTTAGGCAGACTCGTTTATACAAGACCAGTATTTCATTTACACAATACCATGTCCCTCATGGCCTTTGAAAACCACTGTAACATGATAAATTGCTATTGCGAAATCATGGAAGTTACCCAGCAAAATGCTTACAATATATTGCAGATTGCCACGTATTTTATCCATTCAACCGTGAAGAATTACATGGATCAGTCGGGTTTTTTTTTTAACAAGTAGTGGATTCGTGTCGCAGACCAATATACATAAACTATTATAAACAACACTGACGAAAACCCTCACTTCCAAAAATTAGGTCATTTTTCAAAATGACAAAACAGAACGACTTTGGGGTCCATTTAGGATTTATCCATATTTTCTCAAACTTGCCAGGCCCAGAACTGTCTTTACAACATGCCACACTTGTTCGCACAATTGGGGGTTGTAGTCACTTGATAAACCGACTTTCAGCAAACGTTTCTGTTCTGCGGTGCATGTTTCCTGGTCTGTATCACTTGAAATTCATTATGCTTGGAAATCGGTTATTGTTAAGCAATTATGATATATGCTTATCGAATTTCTGCAGCTTTGTAGCTAAGTGAAATAGGCACCAAAACTGTTTCCAGTTTAATCGGCAAGAAAGCAGCAGAGGCAGATAGCGCACAGCGCAGCTAAACAACAAGCATCCTCCGCGTCCCGCTGGTCCTGGCGCCTCTGCGCTGACGTGTTGTCCACCAGGATCACCGTAGGCCCCGCCGCAGGCTGCCGGATCTGCGCCTGCTGTTGAGGAGGGGCGCCTTGAGGGTACCCTGGGTAGGCGCCCTGCGCTGGGTAGGCGCCTTGGGCAGGATAGGCCTGACCTTGGGGCTTGAAGCCGCCTTGAGGTGGCGGGTAGCCACCCTGAGGTGGCGGGTAGCCACCCTGACCCTGTGCAGGTGTCCAGGTGTTCTGTGGCGGATATGCACCTTGTTGGGGAGGGTAGGCGCCTTGAGGTGGGTAGGCCGGCTGGGCTGTGTACGGTGGAGGTTGCTCGCCCATTCTTAAGTTAACTGCTTATCCTTCGTTGACAGGACAATTCTAGGTGCGTCTGTAGATGAGTTTACGGATTCCAAAATCTTCTGTCTGCAGTTAAGGAAAAGATGAAAATGATTGATGACGTAGGTAATAATTTCAAATATTGGAGGAAGTATTACGCTTTAAAAACGCCATAATTACGCCATAATTATTACAACTCTCTTGAGCTGTACACTTCTTACGTGTGTTTCCTACCTCCATGCTCTAATGAAGCAAATTCCCATCGATAAATTCAACGCGCAAATCTTCCAGTTTTATCAACTTACTCCATTCATCCATAATCCAGGAAACATGATAATGAAAGTACAAACACATACTTTTCAAGAAAAACATGCATCGCGGTCAGTTCGACTCGCTTCAAAAACAAACATTGTGAACTATTTCACCAGGAACACCCAAATCTGAACAAGGAAGTGTCAGTGCTTTTATACAAAATGTGACAAAAATGTTATCACATTATCATGGGAATCATGAACACCACTCGTCCCTACACAAAATACAAGATCAATAAAAAAAATATTTGTTTAATTTTCTGGAAAACGAATAGGGCATAGTGATAAAATTTAATAGAGGAGAAATAAAAAAACAAATTTGACAGAAAATCTTGCTTGCAAAATTCGTAGGCCTTGAACTTAATGGGCCGGCCTCGCCTAGGACAGATGATCCAGCATGTAATATCGCGCAGTGGCGCGAAGTCTGTGAAATAAAAATGTAGGCCTATACTGGTAGAGAGTATTGTAATATTATTACAGGCAAAGCCTCATGCTATAGGAAAATAATGCCAGTTCCACCTGTTTTATGCATAAACATAACGCTTAGGATCATCCTAGCTACACCTGTGTAATACATGTATAGTATATTCACAACAGATGGTGTGGATACATGTATAACATTAGTGTCATGTAAAGACCACATCGAGCTCCACACGTTACAACATTCTTACCTTGTAATAGATAGTAGTAGGCTATTCACATTATTAGTCAGACACACTTGGACACTAGACGATGATATATAGAAGCAGGAACGTTGAACACAAGTCGCTGGAAAATGCCTTGAAAAGTATAGAGAGCAGAAATATAGCGTACAGGAATACTGCACAGTCACTTGTGTTGTACATGTATATCTGACGTCACGGTCACGCGTCTGTACACATCCGTGTTCGTGTATAATAGATGACATCATTGTTCACGACACAATGCGAGGTTAACCGACCGTGGCATAATGATGGCGGTTGCGCAGTCTCAGTGTGCATAGCAACCACGGCCTCTAGGTCAACTGCGAAAGCAAGCATTATTTTTATTTTTACTCCAAGACGTAGCCTCACTGATCAATTGACTCGGTATCTCGTGGTAGCTATAGTGGGGTATAACGCACATTTGCTATAGGTAGTTTTGGGAATTGTTTTCTTGAAAAAAATCCCTAATTTCTCTGCTTATACCGATTTTGATTAAATGTCGCTTGAAATCACATGTCGGTCCCTCGGCCCAAATATTGTTTAATTATCACAAAATTCATTTTTAAAGAAGAGAGCTTACAATCCTCTTGAGTTTTAAAGTAGTTTCTGGAATAACTCTTGTCTGTACTCACATAGCACAAAAACGTAGACCTTGAGTTGTACTGATAACACGAAAGTGATGCGTTCTTCACTTTAATCAAAGGAAACGCTAATTAACAGACATCCTCTCAGTCGGAGTTGTGATAGAGCTATAACACAGTCAGATCACAAATTGGAACACAGGTAAGGGGTGGGGGACGAACAGAAGCTACCACTTAACTTTAGATAGCACATGTTGACTTGTAATTGACTTGATTATAACTATTTAAGCACGAATTTTAAACTTGAACAAAGAAATTGAATGGCATTTTCAGGTTCATTGCTCCTGACTAGGCTCATTAATTAAACAAAGATATTGGCATAGAAACATATACCCGCCAACATAGGGCTGGATAGCTCAGAACCGTGATCCGGAGGTCGCAGGTTCAGACCCTGCTCCGGTCAATTTCTGTGTTTAACTTAAAATTATTATAATGCGCCCAGTCAGTTTCCCTTTGGGGTTATTTAAAATTCTTTAAGTCCTGTTTAAGTACTATTGAAAATCTTAAAGTACTATTTGAAAATCCTTAAGTGCTATTTAAAGATACAAAACTGTTTCATAAACTTTAGGAGATGATTTCAATTGGTGAATCACAAGAATAAAAGAAATCAAGTTATTTCGTGGGTGATGGTTATGTCAAAAAGGAGAAAATGAAATAAATGTACAATATTTTACCAAAAATTAATGATGATGGAACGTCAATCCCGCGATTCGATGGCAAAGCTAACTTTAAACTAGAGACTTTTAAATTGACAGTGATGTTATTATTTCAAGAGTATGTGAGATCTTGACTCCATCGCAATTTCTCACTTCTATATACAAATTGTAATTTTGCAATCACTCTTTGTTTCGTTCTTAATAAACATGGCGGTCATTGGCATTTCATCAAAGCATTTTTAGATTCGCTTTAGCGTAATTACATATTAGAGGGCGAAATATTATTTAACTCTGTGAAACCAATACGTATTCTGTTTTACCGATTTTGGTAAACACCATGTTAATCTTTGTTTTCAAAGCTTGATTAAAGATTACCCTAAGATTTTTGTAACTATCATTAGGGTCATGTTCCCGAAGAAGTTGTAGCTTCGACAGGATTGCGTCATCACGACGTAACATCGATGATTGCGTCGTCATGACGTCATGCATCACGGTGGCGGGATTTAATGGTTATCCAGGCAGCAACACAGAAGGAGGGCGCACAGGGCCCAGCAGCAAGCCTGCTCAGCATGATGGTCGTCGTGGTGATGGTGATGGTCGTCGTGGTGATGATGAGCGTCGTGGTGATGGTGGTGATCCATCACCACCACCGTTGGCGCCGGTTGCTGGACGTGGGGCTGGGCCGAGTACTGGTAGCCGGCCGGCTGGGCCGGGTAGCCAGCAGGTGCGGCGTGAGGGTTGTAGTTGGGGTTGTTCATTGCTGACCTCGCAAGTCCACTTCAGGAGGAACCGGCAGAATGTTCAGGACAGGAAAAAGCTCACACACAGTGTCCTACATGTCACACAAAAAAACCCAGAGAACTGACTCGTCTATGTGAACTGAGTCGCTATGTAAAACACCTAGGCCTGACAAAAAATCTTTAAACCCGTGTGCTTTCAACAAAACGCAGCAGGGTTTTTTGGGACTACTGAGTATGTTTTTTTCTTTAATTTTTAAAAGCTCATGCAATATGAACTACATAACTTAACTAAAAACAATCTACGACCCTCTTGTGTTTATCAGACAGAAATTGTTCATGAGAAGCAGCACAAAAGTTATATTTTTTGGGAGAATTTCTCATCCCCACCACATCTAATTGAGTGTACACATAAAATACCTACCTTTATGAGGCGAAGAGCGGGTTTCGATAGGAGCGAACAAAATTTTGCCAGACCATCAGACCATCACAATTTGTGCTCGCGATGTCGTTCTGCGTTGGAATTTCTTTCGGTTTTACCGATTCTGCTGAATTATACCACCGGAACCACTTGATACCCTTATCGTGTTACCTATAATGACCCAATCTCACGTGCCTTTTTTATATCTTGCCAGTGTTTGATCTCTTGCAAAAGTTGGGGAAAAAAAGAAGACCTTTAGTACCCTCAAAAATGCACTTTAAACTTACAAATAAACGTTAAACTCGTTTTAAAGATACTGCTTCAGATGTGGTAGAAATGCACGTACACCGGAATTGATATCAGAAATGAGAATTGTCCTCCACGAAATCTATTTCATAATTTTGTGAAGTCATCAAGCAAAGGCTTTAGGAAAAGAGAGTAGAGATCTACAAGTGGGCCTAAGTTTTCATTTGGTCCATATTTTGTTCATTTAAAGTTATATATGTGACTACATAGCCTCTTTAAGGAGTTTATTTTTAGCCCCACTTATCTTTGACTTGAGTCTCGCTAATGACTGCCATTATTGTCCTCGTGATTGCACAAACTGGCTCAACTGACGTCAACCAACTTGAAGGTGTCCGGTTCAAGTTGTATATAAAAATAACCCGACTTTTACCAAATGAGCTCAGCAGTTTTATAATTTAGAAGAATTCGTGTCACACCGAAGAAAAATTTACTTGTATTGTCTTCTTTCCAAATAGTAACAATAATTTATTTTGATGAATGATCTGAGTACTTGATGGCGATAAAATTCGAATAAAAGTGGTACCTAGCTTTTACAACTATGTTAAAACTCGGTATTGGTCTTATGAGATTGCCATTTTGATCATGTGACCGAATCCACTATATTGTCCATTCTTGTAAGGGAAGATGCCAGCAGGCTATAGTGCTTGATCTGTGAAAGACGAGACCTGGCGTTTTAGTGTATGTTTGCCTTTCAGTTGAGTGCAATGGAATGCTGTACTTTGATAGTTCTCGTCATCTTCAAAAAATGTAACACAAATCTCTTAAAGATATTTGTTGAATTAGGTCTTTTCCAACTTTATTGTAAGCTGGCGAGACCTTGACAGCAACAAAGCGTCACTAGGCAGCAGCAGTGCACAGCATCTTGGCAATCTTGATTTTCGTCATGGTCATTACCGTCTCGGTGATGCAGGGGCTCCGTCACGACCACTGTTGGTTTTTGTTGGACGTGAAGTTGTGCCGGGTAGCCATCTTGGTACGATGGCTGTTGCGGGTAGGGGGTGCCCTGGCCAAGGTATAGGGTGGGGGCAGGTCAGTTTTGGGGTTGTAATTCGGGTTGTCCATCCTCAATTGCCTATGTTCAGACGATGAATGACGAGCGGGTATCAGTCCAATAAAATTCGTTACGAAGTAAACACTAAAATTATGTTGTTACACAAACTATATCTGTTTCAACCAACGATGTAGCGGCCCTGGTTTCTTTAAATAGACCCGTGTTTGTCTGTACAATTTTCTCTTAAAATAGCTTAAAATGGAAACAAAACCAAATTCGACAGTACCAGTATATATGCCCAGAAATGCTATAATCATGAAGCGGTGATTGCTTCTATATTTGCAAACACTGAGGATTATGCACGTTATGATATCTTTCATGTTGTTATGCATGTGTTCTGTCATATCGCAGATCAAAGGTAAAGTATCACGGTCATCCATGTAATCTTCAAGCAGAAAAAAAGGAAAAGTTTTGCCCTGTGGTTATTTTTTTTTATTATTGGGGGCACCGGTTCGGTGCGTCATCATCATGTGAGCAGATCACATTACCAAATGGCGCCCTCTACGACCCAAGAAGTTATATTTTCATCATGCATGAGCAACTGCGCCCTCTTGCTGTTTGTAATATGTTATTTAACCCCACAAAAAAGGAGGATCTAGCAAGTGCGGTAACTCAATGTCAGTTCAACACTACGTTTATGAATGGATGCCAAACAGTGTGGCCGCCAGCGATTATACTGGATATTCTTGGTAAAAAGATATGGTTAAACATGCAATAGCCGTTGGCAAGAGGTAGAAAACACCGGCAAAATCCACTTCCTGACCAAATTACATGGCGCAGGGAGCCGCCGTAAACTTGTAAAATTCCTTTTAATGGTGATATACAATCCCTTTCTGGATTTCCTGTCCATTCTAGCGATTTTTTCCCCCCAAATCTAAACAATAACACAGGAAGGGAAGTGGAATTGATTATTTCTTAAGATATTTAAAGAAATTCAATGTTTAGGGTTGTTCCTTGCGGTGAAAATCTTGACCCCTAAAGGATTAGTTAAAGTCTAGCTTCGAGTAAAGCTGATGTTGGCGGTATCTGCACATTAGTCATAATTTTCAACGACCTTTTCGTTAATCTGTTCTTCTAGTCTGGCTTCGGACAATACAATCAGCAACGGTGTCAGCCAAGACATGTGCGATCGTAATGATATGCGCACTTAACCTGTCTGGCAAACTTCAGTACAAAAGAGAGTCCGTGCCGTCGAGACATCGTCTGTTACGCACTATTAAAACGCATGCTACGTCACCAGAGCAAAAGACACTGATTTGAATTTTTCACGGAAGGGTCATGAAAGGTCATAATGGGCACGACACGTGACCCGCTCGCCGAACTGCAGGCACGAACAGTGAATTATCAGTTTGTAAGGTAAGCGTTATCATTTCTATTTTGTGGGGCAACAGGCTCAGAGAAATAAAGTAAGAATGAATCAAAAACAGTTGGCCTTCGGTATCAAATTATCTTTCTTTAGGTATTAGTACAGCCACTATTGTGAATGAATAAGTATTATGAACTTCAATGCTCCATAATGTTTTATTAGTAACATACTATTAGCAGTTATATTTTTCCTCTTATGTACACACAAATATAGTTTTATTCCATTTGGCTGATCCTTTAATTCATAATACGGTCCGTATGATCTACAGTTAATCTAAGGATGTACTCTTTTCTCCCAGGCTGACGGCCAAGACGTGTTTGCTGCCCCCGCTCGACGCGTCGGCCATTTTCTTCTAGTCGCATGGTTCTACACCGACGATGTTGCCGCAGAGTAGGAGCGTCGAGATGTTGACCTGTTCAGTTCCCAGTTTCGAGAGTTCCAGGACCCCCCGACGCGCTGCACCGGTGCCTCCAATTTCAATCCCACTGAAATCAAAGAGGATTCAAGATGGCGGTCCTTCTTGCTCCGGGCTGGGGAAACAGAGTCAGTTCATCCCAAGGCCAGCGATATGTTGCCAGCCAACACCAGTCACCAAGCGACTTTTAAAATCACGAAGTGCTGATTCTCCACTGGTCCCCCAGTCCCAAATCAAGAACTCTTTATCTCCGTGTATTTCCTTGCAATCTCTCTCAAGCAGTAGAAGAGATCAGGATCATCATCATGAGATGATAAATCCACGTGGAAGTTCTCGCGACGGACGAGAAAGCCCGAGACCACTTTTCCCATCAGCCGTGCAAATGTACAGATCGGCGTCGGCGCACAGACTTCATGAAACGAATGTACTTCAAGTGATCAAGCCCAGAACAAGGCACATCAGTTTGGATGACAGACTACAACAGGTCAAAGGTCAAGAGAGAAACAGCGCTGTATATCAGGAAATGGATAAACTCAAAGTTCAGATCGCCCGGCTGCCTCAAAAGAAAACACAACATTTACCCTTCCCGCCAATTATTCGACTCCAAGGTTGCAACAATGTATCGGATAATGTTGAACCTCAACATTTACGTCCACCAACAGTTAAAGAAAGAGCAAGATCTTACTCTGGACCTTCTTGTTCTGCACCAAGTGATTCCAGAATGGCGCCGGGAAACAACCCACCTGGGATGAAACTGTCTGAGTTTAGGTCCCAAACACCCCCACCCATTACAACGCGAATAAGCCAACGGAAGTTTTCAGCACCACAAATTCAAGTGATGTGCGTACCCAAAGCGCAGGCGCAGAATCAACCAATCACAACGCAGCCTGAAAGTTCATCAGGGTCAAAGGTTAGTTTGCCACCAATCAACCCCAAGCCCAAGCGCAGGTCACTCATCTGCGCAAGTCCAGTGAATGCAACAACACCGAATACGAAGACAACAGCAGAGATTAAGGACGTAATCCGACTTCAGCCGGTCATACTGGACATACAATTCGGGAAAATAATACTTGAACCAGAAGAGCAATTTGAACGCAAACCAGAGAACGAACATTTGCGAAAAATCGAGCGTCCAATTAAGAGAGGATCGGGCACGAATGCTCAATGTAAGAACGGCAACAGTGAAAATATTAAGCAAGAAAAAGAGCGACAAGACAAAAACATCTCCAAGAGGAAAGTAGTCATAAGAGATACTAAAGAAGACAGAGAAGATGAAGGCTGTTGCCATGGGTGCGTCAAGGATTGCATGGGAGATTTACCAGAATGTCTTCTTGAATATGTGTGTTGTAACTGTTGATGCATGGTGGCACCTTTGTTAACAGATTATTTATTTATTTTGAGAGTACGCCATAACTGACCAGTTCAGTATAGTTATCATTCCCACTCTTAAACTTGTATCAGAGGATACTTTTATCAATTGATGGATCAAAGAATTTAATTAATAGCATTTCCTGTGTAAATACAAAAAAGTAAGTGTTTCTTATTGGTTGTGCATTCAGCTGTGCTGAGTGAAAACGAAATAAGCATTGAACGCTGTCCTTGTTCGAATTGCAAAACTCCCTTGGTATTACAAGAACTTACGAGTTTTGTCTCTCTCTCTCTGAAAATAATCGTCATTATGGGATCAGTTGTTTACTCCTTTTTTCTTCTAGAGTTTTGTTTGGAAATATGTAGGCTTTTTCTCCGACTTCTACTTCAACATATATCTTCCTATCACCGTGCACGAGTTCAGAACTGCAGTGCACGTGTTAAGTGTATGGCGCCCTCTATAAACGATTCGGAACAGGAAAAGACATCACACAAAAAAGAGTTATAAATCTGACCATGATCTGACAACCATACATTTACATTAAACTCTTGTGAGCCCTGAAGTCAAACTAGACTGAAATTAAAACAAACTTTGTCTTTTGCTGGCATCGGGTTCGGTGACCAGTTAACACGTTTTCAAATGAGTGTTTATATTTATGGGGATAATAAGACTTCTCTCAACATTTCGGGCCTCACAAATGTTTTTTTTTTGGAGTTTGAAGGCGCCGTGGTGGTAAAGCTTGTAACTTGTTTGTTTAAATTAGGTTTAGTGGGTCATCATCGGTGAACCAAGGCCCACGCGTGGTGTGTTGTTATCCCTACTTTGATACTAGCCAAAGCCCCCCAAGCCCCCACTCCCACACCCTCCAGAGCAAGACTCTGAGAGATCCCCGCTACTTGGAAACTCATCGGGGTCGTTCAGTTCTATTTTAAGAGGTTTAATCCTCAGAAAAACAAAGGGACATCGGGGTTAGAGGTCGAGATTAGAAGGGAAGGGCGACCTACTAAAAAGAGTGGGAAAGACCCAGGAAGGGTTCGGTGAAAGGGGAACCCTTGAAAGTTAGGATCTTGGTACCAAGACGAAAGATATCTTTTTGGTTGATGAGTTTATTGTCAATAATTGACTGAGAATTTATTGCTGATTTGATGGAACATAAAGTATATGTAATAACATAAAAACATTGGCACTGACAACTACTCAGTAAAAATAAAGAAAAGCCGAATACAACTATACTTTTGCTAACTTTACAGAAGATTGGTGTCGCATAAAGCTCTAATATTAATGTAAATGACATGGGGGGGGGGGGGTTACCTGGTTCTTTCTCCCATGTTGTCTGTTTACGTTATGTTAAAAAGGGTACTTGTAAAAAACGACTTTGGCAGTTTCTGCATGTAAGGGCCGTTGGCACAATGAGTCCCGTCCGATTCTAATTTTCATCACAACTCACCTTGAAATTAGTTGGTAACTTTTGTTTTTACCGTAGTTTACTCTGCCATCAAAGCTGATTTAAGTTTTCGTAACTATTACTCCCTCAAACGGGGGTGGTGGGTGGGGAAGGTCGACCCTCCTATCAACACTGTTGGTTGACTCCACCCTCTCCGTCGCTCTTAAACATCAATGTTGCTTATAGTTTTGCAATTAATTATCTTTCTTAATTAGTCAATGATCTTTTTTTTGCAAATCCGGCATTCTCTTGTAAACAAGGAAACGGCTGAATTACGCATTAACCAACAACCCACGCGGAGTAATTAACTAATAAAAAACACCGAGTTTAACAATGGTCAGGGAAAAGGAAATCGGAAATTATAACATCTGAGTCCCGCATTATCGGTGTTCTATCTCTGCTTGTCGTGAACTCATAACAAGGGCATAGCTCACTGGTCCTCATAAAGTACAACCACATCCGAAAACAATGAAATGTGGTCGGTATTTACCCAACCGTTTGTGAAACTAGTCCATTATTTTTAAGCAACTTTTTGGAGATAACTTTGCCCTAGAGAACTCGGTATCGGGCGGGAGACAAAACAGTGACATCCGCAGTGGTGTGCGATCAGAAAACAAAACCTAATTTTGTGAAGTTCCGACCGAGTTTTGTTGGACACAATTTATAATAAGAAAGCACACAAAATCATAGGACACCTCGTTTTCAAGGCTTAGGGGAAAGTAGGCTAAGAATGTGACATAGCAGAGGAAGTTTGGGGATCCTTTACGCAGTGCGCAATTTTCTTTAATTTATTCATTTCTTTTAGTGACTGTAGGCCTACTCACTCAGGGGTCCGCTCATAAGTCCGACGCCTCATAGGTCCGACGCCGCATAAGTCCGACAAAATCGCATCCCCTAACCAAATAAAGGCCCATAAGTCCGTCGCCTCATAGCTCCGACGCCTCGTAGGTCCGACAAATTAAACGCCTCGTTTTTCCGACGTCGGACTTTTGAGGCGTCAGACTTATGAGGCGTCGGACCTATATGAGGCGGAATGAATAAATTTAATGCCTCATAAGTCCGACGCCTCATTCGGACTTCTGGGGCGTCGGACCTATGAGGCGTTGGACCTGATACGGCCCCCTCACTCACACATTTACTGCTAACACTGATTTTTTTTTTTTTAGAGAGTAACACTGATTTTTCTTTAGACAGTATGTCGTTAAAAAGAACTCTAAAACAACTTTAGTCAAAATATTGGCTGGTTTTCCTAGTTCTTAAAGATTGACTAGGAATTTAGTTAAACATGCAAAGTTAAAAAGTAGTTGGATTTGACTCCAATTTTTGTTATTTTGCATAACTATTTTTTTTATAGTCAATAATACTGACTGGAAAAATCTAGTCAGATTGACTGATTTTCAGTTGCACCCAGCTGACCCTATAGCTAGTCAAATTTAATTGGTTTCTAGTCAAATCCGACTAATGTTTATTCATTATTTTTTTTTTTTAGAGTGGAATTGGGTGTGTATTTTGTACCCACCTCAACCACAGCCCTTTCCTGTAAGAAGAATGTATTTCCCCAATTATATTTCCTTTTGAAACACTCCGTTTTTTATCATTAAAAAAACTGAAACCTTGAACTGTTCACATTATCCACAATTCGATGCGAGAATGAAATACCAAACACAATTATTTTAAAACACTAAAAATGCGTGGAATTTCAGAAGTTATTTTTTTTTAACCGCTTGAAAGAATCCGGACCGTTTCTGGGCCATCGAAGCGCCCATCATCTCAACCGCAGACACGTAGACACTTGTTCGGGAGCCGACAAAGGAATAAATTGTTTTATTCGGAAACAGCCAAAGAATACTAACTGGTGGCTGCATTTTCAAAGCAATATTTCGTCACGCTCCAGTCACTTTCCCGTCAAAAGAGGTTCCCAGCAGGCATTTTTGGTCGGTTTAACGTCTATCTGACGTCAGATTCCGACCAACTCCGACGTTGTTTTTTGGTTGCTGCCGTGGTTGTAAGTGTAAGTTTTTTAGACGTTGAAAACCTGACCAAATTCTAACGTCGGTATGTGGTCAAAATTATGACGTCAGTCTGACCATGATTAACTGGTAATCCTGACCGAAATCTAACGTCTGTATATAGTCAAATTATGACGTCAGTCTGACCATGATTAACTGGTTACATGGACGTCGATAGGACGTCAGATTGTTGGTTGAATTTAGGTCAGAATATGGTTGAAAGTGTAAGTTATTTAGACGTCAAAAACCTGACCGAAATCTAACGTCCGTATATAGTCAAATTATGACGTCAGTCTGACCGTGATTTGACTGGTTATATGGACGTCAACAGGACGTCGCGGTTGAAGTTATTTAGACGTCGAAAAATGACCAAATAATAACGTCTGTGTGAGGTCAAAATTGACGTCTATCTGACCGTCGTAATAACGTCCTTTCAACGTAAGGATTTCATGGTTGAAGTTAGGTCACTACATGGTTGCAAATGTTATTTTTGTAGACGTTAAACACTGTTATTTCGGTTGTGTAAAAATCAAACGGTTGTGTACTATATGAACCTAGCAACCTGTTGTGTAAACTGTTGTTTACACAACAGTGTAAACATATTACACAATGTGTTCATTTTTTTACACAACTGCTTGGCTAGGTTCATATAGTACACAACCGAAATAACAGTGTTAAGTTTTCTAACGTTAGTTAATAGTCAAAATAGTGGCGTCAGTCTGACAGGTTTAATAATGTCAATTAGACACTTCAAATGGGCCGATCAATTTTGACATCAGATTTCATTACCACAGTTCAACTTAATTTGGACATGAAATTAAAAAAATAGACGTCGGTCTGAGCCTTTGCATCAAACACTGAATCACAACCAACACAGACATGATCTCTAATCTCTTTTGTGAATATTTGTGCAGGTATAGAAGACATCAGGTGGTCGATGTTGATCCTGATGGTGCATGGTGCCACGTAAAGTAGGGATTGGGTAGCGTATTCGTCTCCCTCAACTGACCAAAGCAGAGAGCTGGAAAAGGAAAAAAAAATGAACAACATTGTCAATTTTTTTGAATAACAACACATTTTTTAAATAATGGTGACTCGTAAATAATTAAAACAAACAGATTTTTTGAAGTGCAGCAGCAGTTTAATTTTCAGAAATCCGAAAACAAGCATTAAAAATAATTCTTATGAAGAAGCAAAGTCGAAGCATAGGCCTATTTTAAGTCTAATGGGCAATTTCATGCGATTTTAAGAAACGAATATTACTGAAATTAATTAATGAAAAATTTGAAATCGCAAGCACCGTAACTTTCTTTATAATTATAAAAAAATAATTAACATTTATTTAGCGCTTCATACGCCGTGTTTCTAAGCGCTTTGCAAAGACTATAACAAACCAATTATTATAGTAAATACTGGTAATAACAAAACATGACATAGAGTACACAACAAAAGAAAAGTGGCATAATGTATCGTCATACGTGGTTCCCAAACTCTGAACTCTTTCGAAACTAGATTGAAAACGTATAAAAATATCTGTATCAAAATAAAAGAGACATTCCGATCGTTTGAGTTAGGCCGGATGCGGAATATGTTGCGGTGCAGTTAAATTCACAATAAATTTAATATTCTAAATCTTCAATCAACACAGTACGTGTGGGAAACTCGTCTCATGTTGAGATATGCTTTAAAATGACCTCATTTTTCCTAGGCCTAAATAAAGATCGGACATGATGATGGAAGGCGGGCAGAACATGCATGACTGCTGATTAGTTTGGATTTTCTACTTCTTCAGTGTTTAAATAAAGGGCACCGTTAGTGTAACTTTGTTCTTAAAATAAGAAATGACAATAGCATCCAAAATGTCTAGTCTAATAACTTTCTACAATGAAGTTAAGGTACTTTCCATGGACTTTTAATGTTACAACTGACATGACTGATAGGGAACATAATATAGGTATAATAAAGATACAATTTCAAAAACTATTGACCTTCAAAGAAATTGCAAATCCCTAAATCGGAAACATTCGTGTTTGAAACTTACCATTTTCAGACATT